CCAGAGCCCAACAGGTCGAGGCTGTGGTGGCCGGGAGCGGCCACTGCACTCCAGTCTGGGCGACAGAGTGAAACTCCAACTCAAAAAAACCCCAAAAACTAGCCAGGCATGGTAACGTGTGCCTGTAGTTCCAGCTACTTGGAAGGCTGAGGTGGAAGGATTGCTGGAGCCCAGCCAGTTGACACTGGGGTGGTTGTGAGCTTGCCACTGCACTCCAGCTTGGGTGACAGGGTGAGACTCCAACTCAAATAAAAAAAAAACAAAAAAACCCCAAAAACACAACAGCCGGCTGGGCACAGTGGCTCAAGTCTGTAATCCCTGTACTTTGGGAGGCCTAGGCGAGAGGATTGCCTGAGCTTAGGGGTTTGACACCAGTCTGGGCAACTTGGTAAGATCTCGTCTCCATCATAAATCAAAAAACAAGGCTGGGCTCAGTGGGCTCACTGCAATCCCGGCAGGTCGGGGCTGCGGTGGCTGTGGGTGTGCCACTGCCCTCCAGCCTGGGCAGCAGGGTGAGACTCCAACTCAAGAAAAAAATACAACCACCACCTGAAGCCCGCAAGGAAGAGTCACCCAGGCCCATGGAGGCAGACCCTGCCCCGGGAGCCCAGAGAGCGGGGGCCCCTGAGAAGGGCATGTGAGTGCATCGTCTAAGTGCCCTGCTGAGCCTGCGAGAAAAAGAGCCAAGATGCCACTTCTGCTGACCACCCCTCCATGCCAGGAAAGACAGTGAGGGCACGTGGGAAGAGCAGAGACAGGCCTGAAACACACACGTGCTGGCATCCAGCTGCAACATGGCGTCCCAGACACAAGAGGATGAAGAGAGGCTGCACGGTCTCCAAAGGCGTCTAGACGATCAGACACCCGGGATGCAGGTGAGAGACTGCGATCAGAAGGCCTCGAGGAAACCTTGGCCAGGACCACCGTACCTGTGCAGCAAACTGGCAAGTGGGGGAGTCAGGGGCCTGGTCTGAAGCCTGCCCAAGGACTGTGGGCTGGTGAGGCAGCGGCTCACGCCCCTCCCCCCACGGCTCCCCTGCATCTCTCCCCCAGCCCCCCGCCCCAGAGAACACAGACACACTCCGCAGATACGCAGGCGGGGGACGTCAGCCCTCCCGTCTTAAACACCCCACCTTTCGCACCACGAGACAGTTCGAGGATGACGCAGCGCTCCCCCGTCCTTGTGCTGGCCACACAGCGTCCCAGAGACTGGGTGCATCACAGTTTCTCCACCAGCCTCCGGCTGATGGGCACGTGGGCTGCTGGCAACCTTTTGCCAAAACCAGCGGTGCTGCCCTGAGCTACTCCTGCCAGGGTCTGAGTCCACCTGGAGAACAAGCTCTAGGGGCGGGGCCTGCCGGCCAAGGTGGAGTCTGCCCCGCCACCAGCTCCCTCTCCGCGGGGCGGGCTGGCTCACATGCCCACTGCCGGGCGACAGCTGCAGTCTCCCGCCCCCTCACTGACAGATCATCCTTCACCTGGTGGGAAGGAAAATGGAGGGCTGTGGCACACACAGAAATGCACGTGAACAAGGTGAGCGCCGGGCCGG